CTGGTTTTGGGTCAAAAGCATCATTGCATCAGGAATAACTTAGATATTTTTTGCTGTTGCTTGTTTCCAAAAATAGTCCAAACAAATCTAAGCATTTAGCACTATTCTAATTCTAGATTAGTGACTATTTTGGAAAGTTGATATTTTATATAAACAAGCTTTTATTGTATCCCATTAGTTTTCAAAGTGTGGTCTCTGAACCTTTGGGCTCCTTCAGTCAAAACTATTTTCATACTAAAACATTACTTGCCTTTTTCTTTTTTTCCCCCTTTTTTAAAATATATATTTCATTGATTTTTTTACAGAGAGAAAGCGAGAGGAATAGAGAGTTAGAAACATCGATGAGAGAGAAACATCAATCAGCTGCCTCCTGCCGAAACCGGTTTGGCTCAGTGGATAGAGCGTCAGCCTGCAGACTGAAAGGTCCCAGGTTCTATTCTGGTCAAGGGCTTGTACATTGGTTGCCGGCACATTCCCGGTGGGGGATGTGCAGGAGGCAGCTGGTTGATGTATCTCTCTCTCTGTTTCTAGATCTCTATCCCTCTCCCTTCTTCTCTAAAAAATCAATAAAAATATATTTAAAAAAAAAATTCAGCTTCCTTCTGTACACTCCCCACTGGGGATGTGCCCGCAACCAAGGTATATGCCCTTAACTGGAATTTAACCCGGGACCCTTCAGTCCACAGGCTGACGCTCTATCCACTGAGCCAAAAACTGGTCTTGGCTTCTTGCCTTTTTCACAATGTCAATATTTGCACTCATTGTTCAAAAGCAATGGTAAATAATACTGCTGGTGCCTAACAAGAATCAAGGCCAAGACTCCAAACTGTATAGTAATCATTGTATTCTTAAAAGAATTTAAATGCCAGTTTCACTTACGAATGTTCTTTTTTTTAAATTCTCACCTGATGATATTTTATCCATTACTTTTCAGAGAGAGTGGGAGGGAGAGAGAGAAACATAGATGTGAGAGAGACACTTCGACTCTTTGCCTTCTGCTCATGTTCCCATAACCCAGGTATGTGCCAGGAATCAAACTTGATACCCTTCAGTTCATGGACCGACACTTTTAACACTAACCACACTGATGAGGGCAAGAATGTTCTTGATAAAGAAGTACAAATTATTACTTTAAATAAACTTCAACTTATCGTTAGGTACTTTTATAATATTTTGTGAAACAAATTGTGAACTACCTTTTGTTGCATACCAAAATACAATGTTATTTCAAAGGAAAGCATTTGAGTGATTGTTCAGAGTTGTGAGCTGAACTTGTCATTTTTTTTCACAGTACCATTTTTACTTAAAAGGATGATTTACCGACAACTATAGTTATGCAGACATTTTCTCAAAAATGAATAGCGATAACAAGGAAGACTAATGATAGTATTTATTTTATTTTATTTTATTTTATTTAAATATATATTTTATTGATTTTGTACAGAGAGGAAGGGAGAGAGAGAGAGAGTCAGAAACATCGATGAGACAGAGTCATTGATCAGCTGCCTTTTGCACACCCCCTACTGGGGATATGCCCGCAACCAAGGTACATGCCCTTGACCAGAATCGAACCCGGGACCCTTCAGTCCCCAAGCCGACTCTCTATCCATTGAGCCAAACCAGTCTTGGCATAATGATAGTATTTATTGCTAGTGATAAAATTCTAGTTTTCAAACGAAAGTTTGGATTTTGGAAAACTAGTATCCACAACTGTGAGTTTGACAATATCTAGTTATTTAGAGCTTGGTGGTAATATTATTGAATCTATTTAAAATATATATATAAAATATGTCAACATTTAGTAGATCTGCATTAATCAGGGAGTTAACCAGTATTTTCCAATTGACCTCTATACCCAATGTTACAAAATAATGTTGGGGTTAAAGGTCTATTAAAGTACAATATAGACCAATGAGTTTATTTAAGTTTTTTTGTTTGTTTTGTTTTGTTTTGTTTTTTTGTGTTTTTTTTTACTGATTTTGTAGAGGGAAGGAGAGAGAAAGAGAGAGAGAAATATCATTGATGAGAGAGAATCATTCCTTGGCTTCCTCCTGTACACCCCCTTTGGGGATTGAGCCCACAATCTGGATATGTGCCCTCACCAGGAATTGAACTGGTGACCTCTTGGTTCCTGGGTTGATGCACAACCACTGAGCTACACTGGCCTAGCTAGACCAGTGAGTTTTAATGGAACATAATGCAAAAGTTTATTCATATGGTTTCTGCTTCCAAACTGCAATATTAACCTTTAAAAAAAACTACCAACTGTCAACTTTGGATTTAGAATCAAAGAGGAAAATCTACAGTAATGTAAAAAAGCTATGAAAATACTCGTTTTCCTAATTTTATCACTGTATAGGTGTGATTTTCTTTATAAACCTAACAAAAACAGTATACTATAGCAAATTAATTGAAGAAACAGATAAGAAAATCTAATAATCTTCTATTAAATTAGATATTTTCACAAACGTAAAACAGTGTAGCTCTTTTCTCACTAAATTTGGTAGGAGATCGGAGTAGGAAGGGGGGATATAGTTTTCTTTTTCTTTTTTTTTTAAATATTTTATTGATTTTTTTTTTTTTTTACAGAGAGGAAGGGAGAGAGAGAGAGAGCTAGAAACGTCGATGAGAGAGAAACATCGACCAGCTGCCTCTTGCACATCCCTCACCAGGGACGTGCCCACAACCAATGTACATGCCCTTGACCGGAATCGAACCTGGGACCCCTCAGTCCGCAGGCTGATGCTCTATCCATTGAGCCAAACCGGCTTTGGCGGGGATATAGTTTTCATTAAAATATTTGTTAACATGTAAAGAGTTTGTTTAATAAATAAACATGTAAACTTTTTTTAGTTTCTGTCCTCTAATATAAATATAGCTATATAACCAATGTAAAAAACTCTTTGGGGCCTTTAGTTTTTTTAGAAGTACAAAGGGGACTTGATTTTGAGAAATACTGTTATGTTATATAATCTTTATTCAACCTCCATGTTATCAAACCACTTCCTCTGAATACCACTTGGTTTAGGGCAGAATGCATGTTTAATGTATATATTTTGATGATATTTATTATATATAGAATAAAACTATCCAGTCAAAGCTTTAAGTAATTGAGTACATTATGGAGAGTAAACCACTTTTCTTTTGTCTTGTTAACTACGCATATATTAAACGTTAGTCTTAAAAATTGTTGTGTCTTCATATATTTTGTACTACAATCTGTATAAAATAAGAGGAGAAAATAAAAGATGAATATATAAATAAGTTCAAGAAACTAAAAAAAGAAAGAAAAAGAAAAGAAAGAAAGAAAAGAAAGAAAAAAAAGAAAGAAACTAGTTTTCCTAATACAGAATTTTTAGACCCCCCAAACACTTAGGTATTTCAATGACGGGCCTTGAAAATATTATTCTACATTTTATATTAAGAGACTTTGAAAGAAAGAAGACCCAGCACTGACTTCCGATCTGGTTGAGCCTTCTGTGGTAATGGTTGTTATGACCCTGGCTCTTTATTATATAGATATTCACTAGAGCAGTGGTCGGCAAACTCATTAGTCAACAGAGCCAAATATTAACAGTACAATGATAGAAATTTCTTTTGAGAGCCAAAATTTTAAAACTTAAACCTCTTCTAATGCCACTTCTTCAAAATAGACTTGCCCAGGCCATGGAAGAGCCACACTCAAGGGCCAAAGAGCCACATGTGGGTCGTGAGCCGCAGTTTGCCGACCACTGCACTAGACCAAGGAACTGACTACTTTTACTTTAATGTGAATTCCTTAAATCTGATACCTTCCTCCTCGAACATATAAGGGAGAATGGGAGTTTTGCTGGGAGAGGGGAGAATAATTTTGGAACTCCATTCTTAGAGGAGACCTCAGTAGAATATTCACCTGTTTTGGACAGATAATGCCACTTTTTTTAGTTTGTAAGGGCTGCCGTAACTTAAATATCCCAGGCTACGTGGCTGAAACAGTAGACATTTTCCCACAGGGCTGGAGGCCAGAAGCCCAAAATCAAAATGTTGGCAGATTTGGCTTCTTTTAAGGTCTTTCTCCTTGGCATGCAGATTGCCACCTTCTTGATGTGTCCTCCATGCAAGGATTTTAAAAATACATATTTTTATTGATTTCAAACACGAAGGGAGAGGGAGAGAAACATCACTGATGAGAGAATCACTGATCAGCTACTTCCTGCACGCCCCACACTGGAGATCGAGCCTGTAACCTAGGCATGTTCCCTGGCCGGGAATTGAACCGTGACTTCCTGGTTCATAGGTCGGCCCTCAACCACTGAGTCATGCAGCCTAGAACAAGCATTTCTTTAGTTCTGTCTCTTAATGAGGACATCAGTCTTACTGGATTACGACTCCACCCTCAAGGCCTAATTTTGTCCAGTCGCCTATTTGTAGGCCCTATCTCAAATACATTGCATTCTGAAGTACTGTGGTTTGAAATTTAAACATGAATTTTGTAGCAAATATAATTTAGCCCATAATACCCACATGACGTAAGACAATTATTGGATACTAGCTCTATGCCAATACTGGACTAAATGTTTAATATCTGATTTTGTGAGATTATTAAGCATTTTAAAGGATTAAGTAACTTGATTAAGAGACATGATTGAAATTCAAGTCTTTTAGGCTCTATTGTCCATGTTTTCTTAGGTTAAGACCTAAACTAGGAAATAAAAGCATAGAGAAGGATTGGAATATAGAACACAAACTTCAGTTTTTCTGTTTTCACCGGGGTCATGCTAGTGAATAACCTATGAAATGGAAAATCATTTAATACTAGCTCTGGTTAGTAGTTTTTTTCTTTAAAAAATGGTAGAAATTTTTGGTTTTACAATGGGAACAATGAATGAAGTTAAAGATATTTAGCTCATGATTCTAATTATAAATGAAGTTAAAGATATTTAGCTCATGATTCTAATTATAAAATTTGCTTTATTTTCAAGTTGTTCAAAATGTCTTTCTCTTTTTCTCTCTCCCTCCAGAAGATTCTAGTGTTCCAGAAACTACAGTAAATGAAAGAAAACCGATATCAGATTTGAAGAATCAAGGAGGAATACAGTATATTGATTTGTCTTCTGATAGTGAAGATACTGCTTCTCCAAACTGCTCCAAAGACACAGTAATTATAGTGTAAGCAGCCAAATAGGTTCATTATATTTGCATTATCTGATTTTTTTTTTTTGAGAAAAGTTTACTTATATATATATATTTTTTTACCTTTTCCTACTATATCTTGGTTATTTTTTGCTAACGTAGAAATGTACAGAGGTTGTGTGTTTCTGGGTAATGGTGATTTTCAAAGTCATTGAGAGCAAATAGATAATTATTTTTAACTAGATGCCTGGTGCATGAAATTTGTTCATAGATAGGATCCCTAGGCCAATTGGGCCCTTCCAGCTGCTGGCTGGGGCCTGCCTTCATTCTGTGCCACCCCTGATGGTCAGCACACATCATAGTGAGCAATTGGTCTCCTGTTTGAACTCCTGTGTGGACAGTTTGCATGTTAGGCTTTTGTATATGTATAGATTTTCCATAGATAGAAAAATTATTTTAACAAATACCTTTGCTCATTTATAACTGCTTTGTGATTTGTTCTTAAGTCCGAGAGTCAAATCATTTAACAATTCTTGGGCACATTTTCTGAGGAAGCAAAGAGTTTCTATTGTAGTCATGAGAAAGATAATAAACATAAAAGATGTCAAATAATAGATATTGTCAGGTAAAGGAGAAAGGAAATACACAGTTCAGGTCCAGGGATGCAAGGTTTCTTAAGAGCACAGCTAGTAAAAAGGTTTCATTGAGAAGACGATAATTGGGCAAAGACCTAAAGGGGAAAAAGAAAGTGAACTATATGGAAAGGGGGTAGAGGATGTATTCCAGACATTGGGAATTTTCCTGTTTAATGATCCTAAAATGATTTTACGCCTGGCATTTTTTTGAGGAAAATGGGGAGGGGGAGCAAATGAAGCAGAGTAAAGGTCCTATAGTTATAATGAGTAAAGGAGGTGCTTAATCATGGTAAGCCCATAGACTATTTTTCTTTTATTCTGGATGAGATGGGAAACTAATAAAATAGAGTAAAATTGTCTGACTTCAATGTTTGGCAGGGCTTTGAGGATGTAGGGGAGTAGTTGTAGAAACATGAATATTATTTTAATAATCCAGGCAAGAAATGATGGAGGTTTAGATCAGGCTAACTACTTGTGGAAATGATGAAAAGTGGTGAGATTCTGCATATACTTTGAAGGTAGTGCAGAGAGGATTTCCTGATGGATTTTATGTGGGGTTGGAAAGAAAGGAGTAAAGTATGACCAGAACATTTTTGGTCTTAGCAACTAGAAGAGTGGAATTAACAATTAACTGAGATAAGAAGACTATCTTGAATATGCTGTGATTGAGAAGGCTCTTAGACATATAAGTGGAGATAGCATGTAGGCAATTGAATATGACATTTGAATTCTGGGGAAAGATCTAGATTACATACCTAATTTTATAAGTTGTCAGTATAGATTTTCTTTGACTTTAATGGGATGACAGTGGTTATTAATTATACAGCTTCAGGTGCACAATTCCCCAAATGTGCATAACCCATGCCCTGTATAATGTGTTCACCTCACCAAGTCAAGTCTCCTTCCAGCATATAGATTTGATATTTAAAGCCATATGATTAGATGAAATCACCAAGGCACACTAGTATAGCTGGAGAACAGATCTCTTGGATTTAGATTTAACAATTAAAACTTTTTCTCTTAGTTGCATCTATTATCAATGATTTTCAACCTTTTTCGTCTCATGGCACACCATAAATTAATTACTAACATTCTGCAACACACACAAAAAAATAGATTTATTTTTTGCCCATCTCACCAAAAAAAATGAGGTATAATTTTTATTTATTCACATTGGACTATTTTTATATTTGACAGAAAAGAGGTCGGTGCCCCTGACTAAACAGTCAAGTATTGCATGTTTTAAAAATTCTTGTGGCAAACCTGTTTCTAACTGATGATAATTATTCTTTTTAAAAAATATATATATAATATTTTATTAATTTTTTACAGAGAGGAAGGAATAGGGATAGAGTTGGAAACATCAGTGAGAGAGAAACATAGATCAGCTGCCTCCTGCACATCCCCTACTGAGGATATGCCCACACCAAGGTACATGCCCTTGACTGGAATAGAACCTCGGACCCCTCATTCCACAAGCCGACACTCTTTATCTACTGAGCCAAACTGTTTAGGGCCAGAGGGTTAATTTTTAATTTTAATTTTTTTTTAAATATATTTTATTGATTTTGTACAGAGAGGAAGGGAGAGAGAGAGAGAGCTAGAAACATCGATGAGAGAGAGAGTCATCGACCAGCTGCCTCTTGCACACTCCCTACTGGGGATGTGCCCGCAACCAAGGTACATGCCCTTGACCGGAATCGAACCCGGGCCCTTTCAGTCCCCAAGCCGACGCTCTATCCATTGAGCCAAACCGGTCTCGGCTTTAATTTTAATTTTTATTGATTGATTACTTTAGAGAGAGGGAGTGAGAGAAACACCAGTGTGTTCCACTTATTATGGTCTCTTTGATTGTTTCTTGTCTGTGCCCTAACCAGGGATCCAACACTCTTATCCCTGAGCCAAACTGGTTAGGGCTGATAATTATTCTTATGGTTTTATTATTATTTGGTGTCCTGCTAAAATGTATGTACACTTTAACAACTGATAGCTCAATTTTGAAAATAAAATATATTTTAATAATCACTGCCTTTATTCAAAGTGTGTGTATACGTTTTTTGGGGACAAAAAAGTAAATTATAGACATTCCAACATTTTACTACCTTTGATCCTTGGTTATACATCCCCCTCCTCCCAAAAAACCAATACTGCTATCAATGAATGATTCTCTAGTATCATTCCTTGATTGCTGCCTAAACCGCTCCCCTGCCAGCCTGATGGCCTTCAACTTCCCTCCCTGTGTGTTTTATAGCTGTTTTTTTATACCAGGATCCTAACCAGGAACATCCACTGCATTTGGATATTATGTCTCTAGCTCTCTTCTTCTTGATAAATCAGTCCACTCCCCTCCTCTTCTCTTTTTTAAGGGTTTCAACTTACTGAGGAGATTGTCTTTTCTTAGAGACAAAAGATTTCTCTGATTATTTCCTCATGATGGTATTGAATTTATTTCTGTAACATTTGTTGTGAACTGGACTTTAAATTCAAGCCATGTTAGATTTGTCATCTGCATGAATACCTATTACATCAAGAGATCCGTGAGTTTGTGCCACTGAATGGTCATGAGCTTGCTCACTAGCTTTAGGTTGTCATGCAGAAGAGCAAGGTTCTTTGAAAGGGGTCATCCAGAGCAGGAATTGTAAAAGGATTCCAAACTGAATACTTGTATTTTCTCTAAGGGCTAGGAGATAATCAGATAGGAAGCATGAACATAGTGAGGCAGAGTGAGAATTCAAAGTTGAGTAGTCTGGATGTAATTGAAAGGGAGACACGTGTAATTGTCTTCAAATACTGAGGACAAACCTAGTGACAAAGGAAGAGATTGATTGCAGTTTCTCAGAGCAAAGTTCAAGAAGTCATCTTAGGAGCTTAAAATACGTGTTCTGGTCAGTGCCCTAATAGGTACAATTGATATAACATGAACTAAAGGCCCGGTGCGTGAAATTTGTGCACAAGGGACAGGGGGTGTCTCTCAGTCCAGCTTTACCCTCTCCAATCTGGGATCCCTCGAGGGATGTCTGACTGCCTGGTGGGATCAGGCCTAAACCGTCAGTGGGACATCCCTCTCACAATCCAGGACTGCTGGCTCCCAACTGCTCGCCTACCTACCTGCCTTTTTGTTTTGTTTTGTTTTTGTTTGTTTGTTTATTTTTTAATATATTTCATTGATTTTTTACAGAGAGGAAGAGAGAGGGATAAAGAGTTAGAAACATCGATGAGCAAGAATCATCGATACCTGCCTTTCTGATTGCCCCCAATCGCTTCTGTCTGCTAGCTTGATCACCCCCTAACCACTCCTATGCCAGCCTGATTGATGCCTAACTGCTGCCCTGCCAGCCTAATTGTCCCTAACTGCCCTCCCCTGTCAGCCTGGTCACCCCAAACTGCTCTCCCCTGCAGGCCTGGGTCCCCCTCTTCCCCAACTGCCCTTCCCTGTAGGCCTAGTTGCCCCCAACTGCCCTCCCTTGCATGCCTGGTCCCTCCCTTGCTGGCCTGATTGCCCACAACTGCCCTCCTTTGCAGGCCTGGTCCTTCCCAACTGCCCTCCCTGATGACCATTTTGTGGTGGCCATCTTATGCCCACATGTGGGCAGCCATCTTTGACCACATGGGGAGCAGCCATATTATGTGTTGGAGTGAAGGTCAATTTGCATATTATTATTTTATTAGATAGGGTAGAGACCTGGTACATTGGTGGGAGCTAGCTGGTTTGCCCTGAAAGGTGTCCATGATCAGGGTGGGAGTTCCCTTGGAGTGTGGGGAGGCCTAGGCAATGGGCCTGTGGTGGTTTTCAGGCTGGTCACGCCCCCCGGCTACCCAAGTGGAGGCCTTGGGATCTGGGATTTATTTATCTTCTGTAATTGAAACTTTGTAGCCTGAAATGGAGACCTGGGCCAGCCAGGGCTGCAGAAGCTTGGCTTCCTCCATTGCCAGGGGCAACTCCAGCCTCCTCCTCTCTCCAGCTCCATGGCGGCAGCCTTTTCTGTTGGAATTTATTTATCTTCTATTATTGAAACTTTGTAGTATTGAGTGTAATCTGGGCCAGCAAGGGAAGGCGGAAAGCTTGGCTTCCTCCATTGCAGGGGAAACCCACACCTCCCACTTGCTCACTCTATGGCCGCTGCCATCTTGGTTGGGTGCATTTGCATATTTGCTCCTGGTTGACTTGTGGGTGAAGCGGAGATATGGTCAATTTGCATATTACTCTTTTATTAGATAGGATAGTGCTAGAGAAGTTAGTAAACTACAGATTCTGGATGTGTGTCCAAGAGAGCTGTCAAAAAATAGAACTAGCTGCACAGCAAAATTTGCACTCTGATCTCCAAAATGCCTATCATAATAGAAAATTGAAATTTCAAATGGAGGTTTTTTGTTTGGGAGATAGATGAGTAAAATTTGGCCCCTAATGTCTTTTATATAGTCTAAATATATCAGCTGAAATGAAACATGATTAAAGTTAGTTGTAGAATAAAGCCTCATTTGGAGTAAATGCTCCCTGTCTGCTAAAGAAATATTTTGTTTCAGGCAGAGATTCTGATATTGATGGGGCTATTCCGATTTTAACACTGAGATTCTAGTCACGTAAGCCATGAAAATTATTTTTTCTTCCTGTTCATGTAGTCTTTATAATTTCTCAGGGACAAAATGACAACACTCATCTGATATGCAGCATATAGGTGAAAAACCTAGGAAAGATAAGTGGGCATGCAATGAATATGTGTGTGTCTTAAAGAAATAAATGTTGCTATTTTGTTTTCTTCTTTTTCATCCCAGCTTGGATAATCTGAAACATTCTCGGAATATGCAGATTTGGGGAATGTAAATTTAAATTTATATACATAAACATTTTGAAATGAAAAATGTTGTGTTGTTTTAATCTTTGACAGATGTAGATTTCATTTAATATCTAAAAAAACTGCAGAGGTGCCATATTTTATATATACCTGTGTATACAAATAATGCAATAGCATTAACAATACATTAAATTGTTTCTCTCTGAAAATAATTTTAGTTCTGAGCCATCTGAAGATGAAGATTCCCAAGGCCTTTCTGCCATGACAGGTAGAAATAATGCTATTTCAGAATTGGAAGACCTTTCAGAACTGGAAGATATTAAAGATGCTAAACTTCAGACCTTGAAGGAACTCTTCCCACAAAGAAGTGACAATGATTTGCTTAAGGTTATACCCTTTTTTAGTAACTTCTTATTGTAGCTATAATGGTGTTTAATATCTGTATTGTATTTAGTGCTGTATTTAGTCATTTTTCTAAAGATACTTTATATTTTAAGATAATTTTGAGCTTTTATTCAGGGATTTACTTGAAAGAGTTAATAATAGGTAAGGTCATTCACCTATAGATAATAAGTTTTCCTCAATATCTCTCATACATAGCTTGTTAGTTCTTGTGTGCTTGAATTGTTTTAAAATGGGAACACCCTCCCCTGCTAATCTTCCAGAGGAGCTCACAAATGTCAGGAGCCTTTCACAATAAAGATTCAACCAAAGGACTTGTATGCATGCATATGAGCATAACCAATGGACACAGATAGTTGATGGCTCCAGGGCCTATGCTGGGGAGTGTGAGTGATCAGGGAGAAGTTAAAGGGGGGGCGGGGGAGAAGGAAACTTATGTAATACTTTAAACAATTAAGAATTTAAGTTTTAAAAATGTATATAGTACATGCTGTTTCTAAAAGGAATAGCTGCTCCTTAACTGCAGCAGGATATGACTATGTGATAGTCATCAATAGCCCATTTTTATCAGATATTGTGATTTTTCAAATAAAGTATTAAAAGGATGAATTTTTATTTAATACTAGAGGCCCAGTGCACCAGTGGGGTCCCTCGGCCTGGCCTGTGGGATCAGGCCAAAACCTACTCTGACATCTCCTGGGTTCCAGATTGGGAGAGGATATAGGCCAGGCTGAGGGACCCCACCGATGCACAGCCAGGCCTGGGAGGGTTGTGGGAGGTTGGCCTGCCAGATTGCAAGAGGGCTTAGGTTAGGCCTAGGGGCCCCAGCAGTGCATGATCTGGACTGGGGTGGGACGCAGGAGGTTGCCCAGTCGAGGAGGGCCTGCAGGAGAGCTCCATGTCATGCATACAAGTCCTTTGGTTGATCTCTTACCCACTCAACCCCTGCCTTCCCTCATAAATTAGACCACATGTGTCAAACACAAGGCCCACGGGCCAAATCCGTCCCTCCAGGCCTTGCAATGTGGCCCGCACCACGCTGTCATCACTGCACTCCGCTGTGTTTCCATCACAATGACAGTTTATGACTGTTCAGTAAACCATTCGGCCCACGATTTAGGTTGGATTTTAGATTTTGGCCCCTTCTCTGATTGAGTTCGACACCCCTAAATTAGACAGTGTGTGTGATGCTTCTATGTCCTTGATTTTTTTGTTCATCAGTTTATGATGTTCATTATATTTCACAAATGAGTGAGATCATGTGCTATTATTTATTTTTCTCTGACTGGCTTATTTTGCTTAGCATAATGCTCTCCAGTTCCATCCACGCTGTTGCAAATGGTAAGAATTCATTCTTTTTTATAGCAGCATAAGCATGTATTATATTGTATGTCAGCAACCCATTGTCTTTATGGGGTTGTGTGGAAGGCTCCTGACATTTGTGAGCTCCTCTGGAAGATTAGCAGGGGAGGGTGTTATTTTATAATTTTAATGAGAAAATACACAGAATTTATTTGTATGTTTTATTAATTAGAAACTTCTGGGATTTAACATATCACTCCCTCCATAGCAGAGTACTCTCGAGGTAATCTGGACTTCAAGTGATCTCTGTCATTTCAAGAGAATTTAAAGGTGGCATTTATAAATTACTTTGCAAAGGTTTTTAGACCCTTATAAAGGAATTGAAGTTATAAAATATAAATTTAGTTGTAGATTTGTAAAGCATATGCTTTGGATGTTTTGAAAAGGAAGAGGGACTTACAGGATATGTAAGGATCCAAGATTAGAAAACTGGTATAGAAAACAGCATTTTCATTTGATTTGAAACTTTTTAATTTAATACAAAATATAGCTTATTTTAAAAAGTAGAATTTATTTTTAAGATCTTTATTGTTGAAAGTATTACATAGGTCCTCCTTTTTCCCCCCATCAACCTCTTCCAGCTCGCTCCCATCCTCCCACTCACCCCAGGCCCTCACTATCTCCTCTGTGTCCACGGGTTATACATATATACATACAAATTCATTTGTTGATCTCTTCTCACCCACCCTCCCCTACCTTCCCTCTGAGGTTCAACAGTCTGTTTATGCTTCTAGAAATATATTTTTTTATTGATTTCAGAGAGGAAGGGAGAAGCAGAGAGAGATAGAAACATTAATGATTAGAGGGAATCATTGATCAACTGCCTCTTGCACACCCCACAATGAGGATCGAACCCACAACCTTTACATATGCCACAGCAAACTGTGGCCTGGTTATAGGTCGATGCTCAACCATTGAGCCATGGTAGCTGGGCTAAAATTTTTTTTTTAATCCTCACTTGAGGATATGTACATTGATTGGGGGGGGTGGGGTAGAGGGGGAGAGAAACATCAATCAGTTGCCTCCCATACTTACCTAGGTTAGGAATTGAGTCTGCAAACTTTTTAGTGTACAGGATAATGCTCCAACCAACCGAGCCATCCAGCTGAGGCAAAAGTCAAATCTTTAAAAACAAAGAACTTATCGGAAGTATAGGAAACTTCAGTAAGAGAAAATTATGGACTATTCAGTTTCTCCTGGGATGTAAAAATGTTACAGAACTGTGTGAAACTATATTGAAGATGTCAATTACATAAGTAATACATGAGTATGTTCTTGAACAAATTCAAACAATTCAGAGGTAGAGTAAAAATCAAAAGAGCCCTTTATCCCACTCATCTAGAAAGCATTAGATTTTTAAAAAAATGACTGCACAATTATAATATGTGAGTGTCCACTGCTAAATGTCCGTTAAAAGGGAAAAATATAAATGTCTGTTGGTCTCCCTCTCTCCCTATTTTCTCTTATCCTTCCTTTCCCCGCACTCTCCTCAGGGCCTGGAAATATAAATAGAAAGTTCTTCAGGCTCCAATGTTTAATTTTATAATTAAAATAACAAAAGCCTTGAATATGCTGTACATAATATGACTATGTTTCAATTTTTTCTTTGCAGTGATGAGTGAATTTGATACATTTTAAGATAGGCTTAGATAAGATCAGACTTTTCAATAAACCAGGTTGCCTGAAAATTTATCATAGGACTTAACGAATTTAAAACTGTGACATACATATTTCCCAACTTTATACATACTTAATATATTTGTTCTTCAATATTTTGATAAATGAAACAATTCTTATTGCTACTTTAAAAATATTATTTTTTCATTCTGTTAGTTGATTGAATCAACCAGCACAATGGATGGAGCAATTGCTGCTGCCTTGCTGATGTTTGGTGATGCAGGTATGCTGACTTAGTTTCAAATTATATTGATTTATTAAATAAGAATATCTTTTAATTTTTGATATCTGTAATAACAAAAGCATAATATGCAAATCGACCGAACTTCTGAACAGTGGAATTACCATCTAGACGACCTTCTGGATGAAGCCAGGGCTGTGAGGCAGCTGCCGAGGCGACTGGGGTTGTGAGGGCTGAGGCAGGCAGGGCTGCGAAGGTCCACCCTTTCATGAATTTCATGCATCCGGCCTCTAGTTGCTCTGTAATTTACCAAGTTTCTACATGAATTCTTATAAGATACTTATGAGATATTAATAACTTTAGCATTTTTAGATAAAGAAACTGAATCTTAAGGTTAAGTGACTTATCTGCGTTCGTATAGCTATTTTGGAATCCAGTTTTATCAATTGATTCTCTCCCCTTCTGCCCCCCAAAAGAGGGAGAGGCAGCTTTCCTGTGGTAATTTTCCTTGTTTTCTACAGATCAGATTTCATAACAACTATGTTTTGGAAGGTATATATTTTTTTCTTAAGTATCCTTTGTAATTGCATTGTGGTTTTATTTACAGGTCTACAAATCTGAGTCGGTAGGAACATAAAGTCTTGTGAAAAGTCCTAGCTGGAAATCATCATTCCTTCATTTAGTAAATACTTATGCTAAGTTCCAGTTTTGGGATACAAAGTAAATGTATTTAAAGGAGCTTGCAATATAAAAGCACTTTGTAAAGTTAATGCCATCTTAATTTTTTTTAACTTATACACACCAAACAGGTAAAAATAACTTGTAATCATGCTACCAAAAAAGTACATAAGGAAGGAAAGCAAACCCATTCTCCATTAAGCACTTTTATATTTGCTTTGTATAATTTTCAACTTTTACATTGCTTATTCATACTATTATACAACACACACACACACACATTAGATTACCAATGTAATTATAATACTGGGTTACATTTTTAAAAATTTATTAGGGTACAATTTTTAAATTTATTAGGGAACATTACATAGGACCTGTACAATTCTTTTTTTTTTTTTTAAATATATTTTATTCATTTTTTACAGAGAAGAAAAGAGAGGGATAGAGAGCTAGAAACATCGATGAGAGAGAATCACCTGTCAGCTGCCTCTTACACACTCCCTACTGGTGATGTTCCTGCAACCAAGGTACATGCCCTTGACAGAAATCGAACCCGGGGTCCCCAGGCCTGACGCTCAATCCACTGAGCCAAACCGGTTTCAGCAAGACCTGTACAATTCTGTATACTGCTTACCACCCAAAATCTTATCTCCTTTGATCACCATATATTGATCCCCTTGCCCTCTGGTATCAACCATACTGTTGTCATGTCTATGAGTTTGTTTTATTTGTCCATTTGTTACTTTCTTCTTTATAATCCACATGTAAGTAAAATTATTTGTCTCTTGTCCTTTTTCATTGACTAATTTTACTTAGCATGATACTCTCAAGATCCATTCATGTTGTCACAAATGAGAGTATCCAATCCTTTTTATGGCTGAGTAGTAGCAGTCCACTGTATATATGTACCATATCAACCAATGACAGGTTGTTTCCATGTCTTGGCCACTGTGAATAATGCTGCAGTTAACATAAAGGTACATATGTATTTACAAATAAATGTTTTCAAAGTTTATAGGTAGATTACCAGAAGAGGGATTGCTGGGTCATATAGTTGCTCTATTTTTTTTTTTTGAAGACCTTTCATAATGTTTTCATAGTGGCAATACCAATTTACATTCCCACCAACAATAATGAAGGTTCTTCCCTAACATTTGTTATTTCTTGTCATGTTGATAATAGCAATTTAGACAGGTATGAGGTATTAATTCATTGTGGTTTTGATGTGCATTTCCCTTAGAACTAGTGACTTTTCACATCTTTACATAGTATATCTATTGGCTATTGTATGTCTTCTGGGAAAATTGTCCAGCACATCTGTCTGTTTTTTAATTGGATTCTTTTTAGTTGTTGAGTTATGTGAGTTTTTTTAATATATTTTGGATTTTACCCCTTTATTGAAGGCATCATTTGGGAATATCTTCTCCCAGTCATTGATTGCCTTTTTTGTTGTTGTTAACAGTTTTGCATACTGTGCGGTTTTTTTAATTCAACACAATCAATTTATTTATTTATTTATTTTTAAATATATTTTTATTGACTTTTTACCGAGAGGAAGGGAGAGAGATAGAGAGCTAGAAACGTTGATGAAAGAGAAACACCGACCAGCTGCCTCTTGCACACACCCTACCGGGGATGTGCCCGCAACCAAGTGTATGATGAATAGCAAGATTACTCTACCCAGCAGAGCTATCATTTAGAATTGAAGGTCAGACAAAGTGTTCCACAGATACAAAAAAGCTAAAAAAGTTCATCACTGCCAAACCAGTATTATATGAAATGCTGAAAGGTATTCTTTAAGAAGAGGAAGAAGAAAAAAGTAAAGATAAAAATTATGAACATCAAATACATATCAACAAGTGAATCTAAAAAGTGAATTAAAAATCCGAGGAACAGATTAAATTGGTGAATATATTGTAATAGAACCACGGGAATAGAATGGGATTGGATTGGTAATTTTGAGGGAAAGGTTTGGGGTACGGGAAAAGTCTGGATAAAAATCATACACTAATCAATGAGGACAGTTGGGGAGATAAGGGCAGAGGGTGGGGTGAGAACTGAGTGGAGGGGAGCTATGGAGGGGAAAAAGTAGAAATAATTGTAATAATCTGAACAATAAAGATTTATTTAAAAAATAGAAACATCAGTTGGCTGCCTCCAGCATGTGCTCCAATTGGGGATCAAACCCACAACTCTGGTATCTGTCCTGACCAGGAAATCAAACCAGTCATCTTTTGATTTTGATGTATGGGATAACACTCCCAATAAACAGCCACGTCAGCCAGGATGGAATGCAGCAGATTTTTATGCATTGATTTTTACATCCTGCAATTTTACTGTATTTATTGTTTCTCAGTTTTGTTTCTTGGAGTCTTTCAGGTTTTCTATATTATATCATCTGCAAAAAGTGAGTCTGCTTCTTCATTTCCAGTTTGATGCCCTTTATTTGTCTTGCCTGATTGCTCTGACTAGAACTCCCAGTACAAAGTTGAATAATGGTGGTGAGAATTGGGCAACCTTGTTCCTAATCTTAGAGGAAAAACGTGAAGTTTTTCTCCATTGAGTATGATATTATCTGAGGGGTTGTGTAGTAGTCTTTTTTATATTGAGGTATTTTCTTTCTGTACTCATTTTATTGAGTGTTTTAATCATAAGTGGATGTCATATCAAACACTTACTCTGCATCTATTAAGAATGATTATATGATTTTTATCTTTTGTTAACGTTGTGTATCACTTTGACTTTACACATGTTGAACCATTTTTGTGGAAAGAAACCACTTGATTGTGATGTATTATCTTTTTAATACCTTACTGTATTCATTTTGCAAGTACTATTTCAGATTTTTGCATCTATGTTCATTAGCAATATTTTTTGTGTGGATGTTGTTTCTGTCAGGTCTTAGCATGAGGGTAATGTTGGTCTCATAAGATGAGTTAGGAAATATTCCCTCTTTAACTTTTTGGGAATTTTAGAAGAATAGGTATTACATCTTATTTGAATGTAGAATTTGAATGGTAGAATTTACACTAGGGGAGCTATCTTGTCCTTGACTTGGTATTTGAGAGGACTTTTGGTTTTTTTGTGTGTGCTTTAAAAAATATATATTTTTTATTTCGGAGAGGAAGGAAGGGGGAAGAGATAGAAACATCAATTATGTGAATCATTGATTGGATGCCTCCTGCATACCCCCATCGGCGATTGAGCCTACAACTTGGGCATGTTACCCGACTGGGTTCATGACCTCCTGGTTCATAGGTCGTTGCTCCACCACTGAGCCACATCCACCAGGCTTTCGGGTGGTTTTGACGGTTTCCATTTCCTTACTGTTGATCAGTCTAATTAGGTTTTCCAGTTCTTCATGGCTCAATCTAGGAAGGTTGTTTGTCCATTTCTCTAGGTTATTGTATTTGATGGCATATAGCCTTTAATAATAGCCTAGTAATCTTCTATACTTTTTTGTATTTCTGTGGTGTGTGTTGTAACTTTCATTTCTGATTTTGTTTGAGATTTTTCTCTTTCCCAAGGTTTGTCGATATTATACATCTTTTCAAAGAACCAGCTATTTGGTGCATTAAGTTTTTTCTATTATCTTTTTGTTCTTTATTTCATTTAGTTCTGCTCTGATTTTTAGTATTCATGTCTACTTATTTTGGGCATCATTTGTTCTTTTTTAAATTCTTTAAGTTCACATTAGGTTATTTGAGATGCTTCTTGTTTCTTGAGCTAGGCCTGTAATGCTATAAACTTCCCTCTTAGTACTACTTTTGGTGCATACCACAAATTTTGCTGTATTGTCATTCTTATTTGTCTCCATGTATGTTTTAATCTCTTGTTTCTCCCTTTGCCCCAGTAGTTCTTCAGTAGCATGTTGTTTAATCTCCCTCTATTTGGTATTTTCAGTTTTCTTAAGTGTTATGTCTTCTTAATGTATTGTCTCGTCTTTATGATTGTAAAATGTTCAATTTTGTCTCGTTACCAATTTTATCTTGAAATCTATCTGATATAAGTATCACTACACCCATTCTTCTGGGGATCTTCTATTCTTTTAAGTCTGTTTGCATAATGAACCTATGCAAATTCAATTCTTTTCTCCCTTCTCTTTTTATGTTTTTGTTGTTGCAAATTATTCCTTTGCTGTGCCTTTATTTTCCAAATAGTAGAAGCTATAGTGTTTTTTGATGCCTTTACTCCAACTTTATATTATATGTATTTAATGCCCTATATTGAATAATATTCACAATTTCCTGCTTTTGTCTGTCATCTTCAGTTATTTGCTGTTGTCTTTTTGTTTCAGGTAGAAACAAACATTTTTTATTAAGTAGGCCCTGTGGGCCTCAGCTTTTGTTTTTCTTGGATAGCTTTTGTTTTTCCTTAATATCTAAAGGATAATTTTGCTGGATATATTATTCTTGAATGGTGATTACTCTCACCATTTTGAATATTTGATTCTACTTGTAACTTATAAGTTTTCTGCTGGAGAAAAACCCTACAATGATAAACTAATGGTTTGTTTTGTTTTTATAGGTTACAGTCTTCCTTAGCTGTTTTGAGAATTCTTTCTTTGTCATTAAGTTTTGACACCTTTAAAATAATGTTCCTTGGATAAGGCCTTTTTTCACTGAGGATAATAGTTGTTCTATCATTCTTCCTGGATTTGAGGGTCTTGCTCATCTATATGTTTGGGAAGTTCTCATTATTTGTTTAAATAGGCTTTCTGTTCTCTTTCTTTTCTTCAAGTATACCCATTATTTTATTACTAGAGGCCCAATGCAAAAATTTGTGCAAGGGGCTCGGCACTCATAGCCACAGCTTCATCCAGAAGGTTTGGCTGCCCTAATTACCTAGCATAATATCCTTTTATCATTATAGATTGCTCTCTCTAATGGAATCAGATAGTTCTTTTTTTGTTGTTAATCCTCACCAAGGATATTTTTCCATTGATTTTAGATAGAGTGGAAGGGGTGGGGAGAGTCAGAGAAACTTTGATATGAGAGTGATATCAAAGTTTGGTTGCCTCTCAAATGAATGTTCATGATTGAGCCTGCAAACAAGGTACGTGCCCTTGATTGGAATTAAACCCAGGACCCTTCAGTCCATGGGCCTATCACTGAGCCAAACCATGAGGGCAGATAGGTTTTATAGAATTCTTTCATATTTTTAAAACACTCAATTCTTTCTCTTCATCTGAGTCATTTCTAGATTTCTACGTAAGTTCAAGATCACTAATTCTTTTTTTCCATCAGGTCTGCTCTATTTCCTAAGCTCTCTAATTCACCCGCTCCATTTTTAAAAAATATATATTTTTATTGATTTTAATGAGGAAGGGAGAGAGAGAGAGAAAATGAGAGAGAGAAAATGAGAGAGAGAAATGTCAAGGATGACAGAGAATCATTTATCAGTTGCTCCCAGAAAGTGCCCCAGCGGGGATTGAGCCCATAACCTGGTCATATGCCCTAACCGGGATTCGAACTATGATCTCTTGGTTCATAGATTGATGCTTAATCACTAAGCCATGCTAGCCATTCTTTAATCCATTCTTTATCTCATTTATTGCATTATTATTGAGCCCTTCAGCTCCAGAATTTCTTTTTTAAAAAATATATGTTTTATTGATTTCAGAGAGTAAGGGAGAAGGAGAGATAAAAACATCAATGATGGGAGAATCACTGATCGGCTGCCTCCTACACATCCCACATTGGGGATCGAGCCCACAACCTGGGCATGTGCCTTGACCAGAATTGGAACTGTGAACTCCTGCTTCATAGGTGTCAATGCTTAACCACTGAACCACGCCAGCTGGGCCAGAATTTCTTTGTTGGCTCAGTTAGATGGAGCATCATCAAAATGTTGCTGGTTTGATTCCTGGTTATGGCACATACTTAGGTTGTGGATTTGATTCCCATTTGGGGAATTTAGGGAAGGCAAATAAGTCAAGTGTGAATTACATGGGAAGAAGAAATTGGGGTTTTTTCCTTCTAAAGTAAACTTCCTTCCATACTTCATCTTGGAAAATATTAGTCATTCATATCAGTCATCTTCATTTTTCATACTATGAATTTTTTAGGTATGGTGGCTTTATCTTGCCAAGATAAGATAGCTTTCAATATATGAAATCATTAAGATGGAAAGTTATTTTGGGTGTATTTGGACAATTTTCAACAAAAGACTTTTTTAAATACCTGTAAAAGATCTTAGACAGTTCCAGAAATCATGATCATGTACATATGTTTTACATTAAATTTATCCTTTGCAGAAAATATCAACTTGCATATTAAGCATTAAGGATGTATTTTATACATTGCTTTCTGAACATTTTTATTTTGAATACTAAGTTATAAAAAAATAATATCCAAAATTTTACTTTTTTTAAAAAAGGTACCAATATGAATTTATTCATATTGTCAGGAGTTTCCTTGGCCGTTTTTTCCATTTCTCTATTTGTATGAGAATAGGCAAAACATATTTATGTATCCTATTATATCAGTTGTTTTGTAACATTTTCATTTATTAGAGACATCTTTCCATGTTACTTTAAATATTTGCCTCTTTTATAATAGTGGCATATGTATGTATCCTAATTTGTCTAATATCTTGGGCATTAAGACATTTTGGTAGCATTCTTGTGTATATGACTAAGCAGACGTTTCCTTGAAATCCATGGAAAGAATTTGTTGAACTAAAAGCTATACAGAACTAAAATTCAGAGATGTATTTTTTTAAATTGCCTTCCAAAAAACTTATACTTCATCAATTCGTACTGTTTGCCCTGTGTCCATTTATTATAAAAAAATTATCATCTAAGGTGGGCCTCTTTTTGTTTTTCTGTTAAACTGCCTATTTGTTTTCTTTGTCCATATTTTTTTAATTTCATCTTTTGTTTTTAAATATTGAATTTATATGAAATTTATTTTTATCTGGAGTATGAAGTACATCTAATTTTTCCCCTTGAAATTGATGATGGGTACTTCTAATAAAAGATAAGAATGTATGAAACATAATTTGAAATTAATATATAGTATAGCATATTAAATATCTAATTAATAATTAGTAATAGGATAGGTTTAGAGATAGGTAACTAAAGCATTATGTAACCTTTTATAAAAAAAAATAGTTTTATATTTTCTCCCACACTTAATTGCACATTCTGGCATTTTGCCATTTTATACACATATAAAGATTTGGTGCTATGGTATTGGCACTCCCCTCCCCCCACCAAAATAAAAAGATGTATTGACAAATATATGGCTAAAAAATTATTTTTTTTAAATATATTTTTACTAATTTCAGATTTCAGAGAGAAGAAGGGAGAGAGAGAGAGAAATAGAAATATCAATGATGAGAGAGAATCATGGATTGGCTGCCTCCTGTATGCCTCCTACTGGGAATTGAGTTTTCAACCAGGACCTGTGCCTTGAACCAGGAATTGAGCCGTGACCTGGTTCGTGGGTCAACTCTTAGCTAATTAGCCGCTTCAGCAGGGCTAGGCTAAAGAATTTTTTTATTGACAAAACGAAGTTCTTATTCTTTTAGTAAATAAATATGTCTAAGTGACTCAAATGATCTAGTTTGAAGTTCTTTCAGACTTAGACTATTCCTAATAGTGTTCACTTAACACCAACAAATATATGGGTAATGATGGGTAGTTATACTTCCCCTTTCTTAAAGTGGATGGTAGGAGTTAGTTGGCGAATGTATAATGCACAATTACTTTATGAAATAAATTGAAAAAAATTAAGCATTCAATTATTTTGTTACAGCCATATTATGAAATTTTCTGGCTTACAACTTAAAAGTTGTCAAGTTTGTGTTTATTTTGAATATTATATTTCTACATTTTTTAATTTCTAACTGTTTAGTTAGGGTACTGATATAATTAATATTGAAATCTTAAACCTTTGTGAAATTATAGCAGATGTTTTTTTTTTTTTTTTTTTTAATATATTTTATTGATTTTACACAGAGAGGAATTGATAGGGACAGAGAGTTAGAAACATCAATGAGAGAGAATCATTGATCAGCTGCCTCTTGCACACCCCCTACTGGGGATGTGCCCGCAACCAAGGTACATGCCCTTGACCGGAATCGAACCTGGGACCTTTCAGTCCGCAGGCCGACGCTCTATCCACTGAGCCAAACCAGTCCCGGCAACAGATGCTTTTATTTTAGCACAGTAGTATGTCTAAGGCAGAAAGTAAAAGTATTTAAGCAATATGTCAATGTATACAAAGTATTGTATAAGTAAGTAACAGCTTTTTAAAATCATGTACCGTGAGTCTAGTTTTCTTTTAGTCTTGGCAGAATATGCAGATTTTCATTACTGTTAGATTCTTGTCTTACTATTTTTAAGTTAAGACCATTAATTGCTTGCACTATCTATTTCAGTTCCTCCTTATTTGTTAAATGAGAATACTATCTAATTTGTATGTTTTTTTGGAAGGTAAATGAAGCAATAGTTTACTAGTATAAAAGTCCTCTACAAAGCCTGGTATATAGAATACAATTACTGATGTCAGCGATGCTAATCAGAGAAGCTACACTGATGGGACTCAACTTTTTCTTACTGATAAACAATACCCGTATTTTCCGGCGTATAAGACGACTTTTGAAATGAAAAAAAGTCAACCGAAAATTGGGGGCAAAAGACCAAAATTGCACAAAAATTACCTGCAGATCTTGACGGCAAAGTTAAGTCTTTTCTTGGAAGCGGGGGGTTGTCTTATACAGCGAATATAGGCCTAAATCTATGTTTTAACTGTAAAATTAGGAGGTCGTCTTATACGCCGGAAAATATGGTAAGTCACTCAGGAGAACCCCTTCCTCCGAATATTACAGTGAAGAATTATTTGTCAAATTAGTGATCTATGTTTTTAGCATTAAATATGATGGTTTACAAATGCATTATTATAGTGATTTCTACTTTTGAAGGACTGGCGTCTCTGTTCACTTTTCCTTCAATTTTATTGATACTTGTTGAGTAGACATTTTATGTCAAAGAAACCACATTGGACCTGATGTCAAGAGGACAATCTACAAATGTATTAATTATGATAACACTTTGGCTTTCTTTTGCATTAATAATTCTTATACTTACCTGTACAAATTTTGAGTGTTCTTCTCTGTTTTAGAAGGTGGTGGACCCAGGAAAAGAAAGTTGTCTTCTTCTTCAGACTCAAATGAGGAAGATGAATGTAATGGTAATCAAACCATAAAAAAGAAGAGAATGGATCATGTAAGTTACATTTGAATTGCACTATCAAAATTACCTGGTTAAGCACAGAATATATTGTTTATGAACATCAGGCCTGAAAATTCACCTAAAGGAATCTTCCTTTTCTGTCTCAATACCAAGTCAGAGAATCAGTTTTTGCATTTCATTTTGACTGTTTTGTTTTCTTTTTAATTTATCTAGTATTGATTTTTCACCTCTTAGTTATAAAATTAATTTTTAGAATATGCTAATGACATATATTTATACTTTTAAAAATTTTTCATGAAAGTTATACATATGTATCCTAATATATAAAAACCTCCTAATATATAAAAAACCTGGGCCGTAACTACCAGTAATGACCGATGCTCAACCAAGTGGCAGTCAGTCCTGACTACTTCCGCTGCAGGCCTGGTGCTCAGCACTGAATGCTGAGGTGGCTGTGAATCAGGACCAGAGAGGCCTGAGGAGAGAAGCAGGGACTGATCTGTTGCCTCTGTGGCAGCTTTTTAAAAAAAAAAAAAATCTTTATTCTACAGATTATTACAATTGTTCCTCTTTTTTTCCCCCTCCCATAACTCCCCTTTCCTGGTTCCTACCCCACACTCTGTCCTTACCCATCCGCCTCTGCAACTGTCCTCATCCATAGGTGAATGATTTTTTTCTATCTCTTCCCACACCCTCCACAACCCTTTCTCCCCAAGAATTGTCAGTCCACTCCCTTTCCATGCTTCTGATTCTATTATATTCACTAGATTATTCTGTACATCAGATTTTTTATTCACTTGATTTTTAGATTCAGTTGATCATAGATATGTATTTGTTGTTCATAATTTTTATGTTTACCTTTTTCTTCCTCCTCCTCTTAAAGAATACCTTTCAGCATTTCATATAATACTGGTTTGGCAGTGATGAACTCCTTTAGCTTTTTCTTATCTGTGAAACTTTATCTGACCTTCAATTCTGAATGCTAGCTTTGCTGAGTAGAGTAATCTTGGTTGTAGGTTCTTGCTATTCATCACTTTGAATATTTCTTGCCACTCCCTTCTGGCCTACATAGTTTCTGTTGAGAAATCAGCTACATAGTTTCTGTTGAGAAATCATATGGGTACTCCCTTGTAGGTAACTACCTGCTTTTCTCTTGCTGCTTTTAAGATTCTCTCTTTGTCTTTTGCTCTTGGAATTTTAAGTATGATGTGTCTTGGAGTGGTACTCTTTGGAATCCTTTTATTTGGGGTTCTGTGTGCTTCCTGGACTTGTATGTCTATTTCTTTCACCAGGTAGGGAAAGTTTCCAGTCATTATTTCTTCAAATAGGTTTTCAATGTCTTGCTCTCTCTCTTCTTCTGGCACCTTCATAATTTGGATTTTGGTACTCTTGAAGTTGTCCCAAAGGCTCCTTACACTATCTTCATATTTTTTGGTTCTTTTTTTTTTTTTTTTTTTTTTTTTTCTGGTGGAATGTTTTTTGCTTCTTTGTATTTCATATCTTTGACTTTGATTTTTGGGATCCTCTGGTCTGTTGTTGGATGTATGTATATTATTCTTTATTTCAGACAGTATATGCTTAATTTCTAGTTGGTCCTTTTACATATTTTTGAGGGTCTCACTAAATTTATCGGTGGTTTCTAGAGGATTCTTGAAAAACCTTATAACCATGGTTTTGAATTTTATATCCTGTCGTTTGTTTTCTCCATTTCTTTTATTTGTGACCTGTTTCTTTGTCTCTGCATTTTGGCTGCGTCCCTGTGTTGATAGAGTGGATTTGTGTGCTAGGTGTCCTATAGGGCCCAGTAGCTCAGCCTTCCCAGTTACCTGAGGTGGACACTTTTTTTTGTTTAAAAATATATTTTATTGATTTATTACAGAGAGGAGGAGAGAGGGATAGAGAGCTAGAAACGTCTATGAGAGAGAAACATCGACCAGCTGCCTCCTGCACACTCCCTACTGGGGATGTGCCCACAACCAATGTACATGCCCTTGACTAGAATCGAACTCGGGACCTTTCAGTCCACAGACCAACGCTCTACCCCTGAGCCAAACCGGTTTGGCGAGGTGGACACTCTTGATGCACCCATTTATGTGCTGTGTGCTCAGCCTTGTAGTTAAATTTTGATTGTTGTTGGTATCACTGAGAAGAATTGACCTCCAGGTCAATTGGCTATGAGAATCACCTGTGTCTATGCTGGGAGAACTTTTGTGCTGAGACACTCTTATGGGGCAGGACTTGCTTCAGTAGGGCTTTGGTGCTCACTGAGTCTGCCCATTGAGTGTGTCCCTTATGGATCTGAATTTTAATCTGGATGGTCCCACTCTGACAATTGGGTACACTGGCTCTTGGATCTACAAGGAAGTGCAAATGTAGCCTCTGCCTGAGGCCACCCAGCAGCAGCTACAGAGAGATCTGCAGATTCCTCCTCTTTGTTTGGAGGTGCCCAGATGAGGTCCAGCTGTGAAGCAATGCAAGCTGCTGTGAGGCCTTGTGCCTTCTTTTGGTTGTTCTGGGTCTCTCTGACTCAGCTGCAGTTTGTTAGATAATTTTACGTTGCAAAGGGCCTGGCCATTCATATGCAAAAGCCTCTGCACACTGCTCTGGTGGGTCGGGGTCTCAGGGCAGAGCAGACAGCTATGGCTGATCTTCTGCCCTGTCCTAAGAGGCCTCTGGGTCTCAGTGTCCCGCAGTAATAGATGCAAGCACCTCAGAGAAAGCTGCCCTCAAGTTCTACCCAAAGCCAGTCAGTCCAGTTTCTCCCTGTATGAGTCTGGGTCCCCAGAGTCTCACCTGCAACTGGAGTACAGAGCAGTTGGGAGTTTGTGTCTCCCTCCTGATTGAAAAAGACAACAGTGCTCTCAGTTGCCAGCCCTTTCTGGGCACGCACTTTCGTACCTCTGCACTTTATTTCCGAAGCTCCTCTGAGTCTCAGCATGCTTCTCTTTCCTTCTACTTGTAGAATTCCACTCAGCCAGCCTTCCTGTGGTTCTGGATGATCTCCGTTTTATCTTTTAGTTGTAGTTTTGAAGTGGTTGTGCAAGGTAGCAATTTCAGGTGTTTATGTATGCCGCCAACTTGGTTTTTCCTCTTAGGCAACTTTTGATCACCACTTGCCTCTCTTTTTCTCTCCCAGTATGGCCGGCATGTATGCCTCTATTTCTCTCCAGGACTCCACCGGGCTGTCGATCAGTCCTGCCTTTCTAAGCAGGCCCCATTGATAGGCCTAGAGACACTGACTGGCATAGGAACTGACTAATCAGAACCAAATGTGGGTGGTGTGAAGAACCAATGGCTGCCTAGTAGGAGAAGCTTTTGATGTTGGTTGGCATAGCAACAGACCAATATGAACCCAATGTGGGTGCTGTGAAGAATCAATGGCTGCCTAGGAGGCGGAGCTTTAGACATCGACTGGCATTGAAACCCACCAATCAGAATCAAATCTGCATGCTGTGGGGAGCTGATGGCTGCCTAGCAGGCAGAGCTTTTGACATTGACTGGCCTAGAAAGTGACCAATCAGAACCAAAGCCAGAGGAGGGCAGTTGGGGGCGCTATCAGGCCAGCAGGGGAGGGCAATTTGGGGTGATCAGGCTAGCAAGCAGAGGCAGTTAGGGGCAATCAGGTAGGCTGGAAGGTGAGTAGTTAGGAGCCAGTGGCCCCAAATTGTGAGAGGGATGTCCCCAATTGGAGAGGGTGCAGGTTGGGCTGAGGGAACCCTCCCTCTGTGCACAAATTTCATGCAACAGGCCTCTAGTGGTTATATAATACTTATTAAAAACAGTTGTTAACTACCACCAGTAACATTTGCTCCTTCCCACTGGCAACTATTTATAATTCTTCTAAATGACTTTTTTTTTGTCTTAATGACTTTTGATATTTAACCAGTTATCTAAAATAATAGTGGTTATGCTTTTATTGGGTTGATGTAATTTTTTACTATTTGTTGTATTAAAAAAATTTTTTTTCGTTTTTGAGACAGACATACACAATGATGTTAGAGAGAACATCAGTTGCTTGTCTCCTCCATGCATCCCAATCAGTGATCAAACCCAAAACAGTATGTACCCTGACTGGGAATCGAACCTGCCACTTTTTGGTGCATGGGACAGCGTTTCAACCAACTGAACCACACCAGGCAGGGCAGCTCTAATTTTTTATTAACTTTTATTTACTTTATGAATAGAATTAATAAGAGGCCTCCCAGTAAAACCAGACATAATCTTCCCTGTTTCTTCATTCAGAAAACAGTTTCTTCTTGGTAATAAAAATAAAATGCCACAACTAACCTCTTTCTTTTAATGTGATTTAGGTAGTATAAGAAGACTAAAACAGCCAGGTGGCCTTCTTTACCCTAATTTAATTAGACATTTGTTATGTCCCTACATAGAAACATTCTTCTCTTGGGAACTACCGTGTTTCCCCGAAAAGAAGATATCCTCCGAAAATAAGACCTAGCGCAACTTTGGGAGAAAAAATTAATATAAGACACTGTCATATTTTCAGGGAAACAGGGCAATACTGATGGGAGTAAAAATTCTGTGAGTAGGTTTTGAGGTATGAAGAAATGCTGTAGTGTGAGAGACAAAGGTCCATGTTTTAGTTTTCAGATCTATTGTACATATAAGGACTGTCTGAAAATACCATCAAATATGCTGATTCAGAACATTTACCCTGCTTGTACATCCTAATGAACAACATATCAGAGTGTTATCTACTAGTTCACATGCTGAACTTCCACTAAACAATACTACATCTGTAAGTCAGCTGCTTCTAGGTATTAAGGCACATAGTAAAATCAGTGAACTTCCTGAGCATGAATCTATTGATGCACTTTCTTCTGATGAAATTAGCTTCCAGTCAGAATTATTGTTGTGTTACAGTGTACTATGATTGAGAATGAGGCTTTCTATACACTAATAAAAGAGTAATATGCAAATTGACAGTCACTCAAACACATAGGATGGCTGCCCCCATGTGGATACAAGATGGCCACCACAGATGGCTGCCCTGTCAAGGGAGGGCAGTTTTGGGC